TGTCCAGAGGAGGGCGCTCTTCTGTGTTGGACCATGCATTGACCTGCAGACACTCTGCTCAGATTAGGTCTTTAGGATGAACTGGTCTCTGTTTCAGGGTCTGTTTGCTTTGAAATGTTCTGGGATTTAGAGTTTGGAGAAAATCCTCTGGAGTTTCTCAGAGTTTCCAGCAACATGATGGGATGGAGATGTTTTTGGGTTTAATCTTCTCACCGTTATGTTCTGCTCTCAGGTCTTTTGGATTTGGCCCAGTTTGGGTCTCCACAGGTTTGGAGAGCATCTTTGATGAGTTTCTGTTCTTGGTGCTTCTGTTTTAGGAGGGAAATGCTCGGCCCGCTGCTGGATGTTCTGATTTCACACACAGCCCACCTCCTCAGGTCTTATCGCTGGGTTCGATGTTTCTGTCAGTGCGGTATAATGGGAGCCCCTCCAGGCTAAAGGCTGATTTAAGGCCTGGTTATCCTCCTGCTGCAGCGTTTCGCAGTGAGCTTGACGCAGACATTTTTGATTTATGCTCAATTATGAGCGTGGTCTGCGCTACACGCTGTGGGTCTAGATACGGCCGAGGCGGTGAGGAAGTGGGGGCAAGTTTGTGCGACAACGGACGGACATGACGGCCACAAAGAGCGGGGATCCAGGTGGAAAAAGGGTCCCAGCGTTCTCGCGCACCTCAAGCTTCTAGCGGGTCAAACTTCACCAGTTGTTTTCTGCAATTTCGGTCATAAAAACAAAACAAGCAGACCTCCTGTCTGTGGTCAGCTACAGTTTGGGAGAGGTGCAGCAGAGTGTCTGCTGAAGGGGGCGGGGACATCGCTTTGTTCACTGCGACACCTACGCAGACGGCCTAGTTTCGAAGTATAAATCAGCCTTTATACTTCGAAACTAGGCCGTCTGCGTAGGTGTTGCAGTGAACAAAAACACGTCCCCATTTGAAAAATTTTATTTTTCAAATGATCCTTAATAATCCAACTCAATCTAGATTTACTTTAATGCAATTTGAATTTTAAACAGATCTATTTTATCTAGTTTAAATATAATATCCTATAATTTTCAGTGTATAACATTATATGTTCTATAATCTACTGACGTAGCCCTGCAGCGCTTGGCTTCAGCCCAGTGTGTCCAAATGTCAGATAAAAATAATGTCTCTTCTTGGCCTCCATTTTCTTTTCTCCTGTTTTCTTGTAAATCTTATAGAAGTTGTGTCCTTTGCTTTCTTGCTAATGGAAATCCTTCCTGGGTTTTAGTCCAGTGTGTGTCATGTTCAAAGTGGCCACCAGGGGTCGCCATTGCGTCTCTTTAAGCCCTCCTGCGACAGACTCCTCCAAGTTGGAACATGAAGTTACCCCTTATGTCTAGGAACAAGATCTGTAGAGCAGGGAAACATGGTGGGGGCGGCTTCTCCCACTGGGTTAGATAGCCCCCCCCCCCCCGGAAGACTATTAAAGCTGTGATTTTAGTAAAGCTACAGTTAAGGTATTATAGTTCCTGCAATAATCAGTACATTTAATAAAGTTTTAATTGGAGTAAGAAGCTGTTTTAGTTCCTCATGGTGCCCCCCCCCCGTCTCTATATAAAAACATTGGGAAACACCACAGATGTAATATTGCTGCTCTCTGATTGGCTGCGGGGGGCAGCCATGGACCAATCAGCAGGCAGGGCTGTTTGTGCGCTGCAGCTGCAGCTGATATATAAAAACAGCAGCAATGAGAGAGGAGACAAAACCATAGAGACCAAGAAGGAGAAGCAGACACCTCCTCCTCCACCTCCTCCTGCTCCTCCTGCTCCTCCTGCTCCTCATCAGCCCATTGATCATCGAGGAGCCGTTTGTCCTCCAGCATCCAGGTGAGACTGATGCTCCACAGACACACCGAGGAGGACAGGCTGTCCTCCTGAGGAGGTTCAGTTAGATGCTGGTCCAGCCTGAGGAGGAGCTGCTTCTAGAAGCAGGAGCTAAATGGATGAATTCTGTTTAAATGTTTCTATGTCAGAAGTTAGAAAAGCATCTTTTTCTCTTTGTTTGTTTGTTTCTGCTGTTTGTCACCGAGCAGCGGATTCATTTATAGGTGCAGAAAATATCGACAAACCTTTCAAAATAAAAGACCTGAGATGTAATGAAGAGTTTGTTTGCTGAGGAATCAGGCTCCATCTTTATTAAACTCTTCTTTCATCTTTATTTTAAGCCTCCATGTTCACCGGAAGCGCTTTTGTTCCCGTTATGGTCAAAATAAGGGGGGAGGGGGGCAGTTTTTCAGCTTTATGCTTTAATTTCAGGAGGAGGCTGCGGGATTTTATCGCATTATTACATAAGCTTTATTTGTCAGAAGATGCGCAGCGACAAAAAGTTCGTTTAAAAAACAGATCAAATGTTTAATTTAATATGAACTCCATCAGTTTCTGCTGATGTTCATCACAATTCCTCCTTTTCTTCCTGTAAATCAAACGGAGCTTCTGCTCCTCATCATCACAACATCAAGCTGCGCTCGTGCACGTCACGCAGCGGCCGCGCGCCGCACCGGTTCAAACTGGATGGAGCTCGCGCCGCGTTCACGGCCGCTGCTGTTTTCAGCCTCTAACAAAGAAAATCCTTTTTTTCTTCCCTTTTGTTGCAGCGCGGGTTTAAAGTCTTTATCTTTAAACAAAAAGCTGCTGAAATTCATCATAAATTCTCTTTGATCAGCTTTAGATCGTTTCCCTTTAAAGGAGGATTTTATTTATTTAAAATGAGAAAGTCTGTTTAGCAGCTTTAAACTCTGACAGCTGCTTTATTTCCAACCATCTTAGTTTAATTTTGCAACAACAAACTTACAGCTGAACAACAAGCAGCCAATAGGCTGCGAGCTCATAAACTTTGCAGCCAATCAGATGCCTCCATGGGCGGGGCGGTCCTGTTTGGGGGCGTGGCTTTAGGCCTGACTTGTTTGTTCTTGTTTCTCCTCCTCATCATCATGAAGGAGGCAGAACAAAGGAAAATGTTGGTTCTTGATCCAAACTGTCATTAAAACAGATTAATTTATTAATAAATCCAAATATGGGACGGAGAAAAATATAAATAAAGAATTAAATTAGCTTTTTTTTCTGTATAGATTATATTTATGTTCACTGAGCTATAAAAGCTAAATGTTTATGCTTCAAACAGATTTTAGCTCTTTTAGCATGTAGGCTAGTTTATTTTCTAACAGTTTAGCTCTGGGAGCCATTTTGTTTTTGTAATTTTAAACCTTTTTTTTCTCCAGGTTTATTTTTGGTAATTTAGGGATTAAAATGAAATAAGGGAAACTTTTCCTGCAGGCATCTTCTTCCATTCTACACACTTTCTGGATTTATTTTTTCCTTTTTTTTTAATGCGGGAATTGATGTAATAAAAAACTGAAATAAAATCTGAATAAAATTTGACACCTACGTTTGATTTGTAATACGGGACGGTTCCTTTTTTAGGGGACGGATGGAAACCCTGTTTCCCACCGATCAGGTTTAGAGTTCCTAACAAACATGGCTGCAGATCATTGGTGTGTTTGGCTTATTTCTGGGGCCGCTGAAGCAAACCTAATTTAAATCAAACCACCCCTAAAATATTAGGTTTTTTTTTAATACTGTTTGTGCCTTTTACAATAATAATTTTTTTAAATCCTATACGGTATTTGGTTATTTAAACACTTCAATTATGTTCTGGTTCATCAGAAATAATAATAATAGCTAAAAAAGAACAAAACATATAAAACTGGCCTGATGGAGCTCCTTCACTAAAATGTTGAGCAACGCTTTGAGGAAAACGCTGCATTCAGGTGTTTCTGAAATAATCCGTCAGATTTCTGCACCTATTGATGGTGTGTTGGTGAAATGTTCACCAGCCAGGTGCTCTAATGGTTTGTTTGATTATCTGTAAAACCATAACTCAATATCAATATTTAAATTTCCTGAATCATTAGTAAATCGTTATAATTTTTTCTAGTTATTTGAATTAATGATCCATTCTCTGATTGGCAGTCTAGGGACAGGTGTGTGCAAAATGAAACCAGGTAAGAAAACAGACAGAACAGAATCAGCTGTTAAACTGGTAAAGAAAAAGATTTCATTCAGCAGATTATTTTACATTTATCATAGAAGTAATTTTGGCACGAAAGAGAAAACTAATTTCATGAGAACTGATTGAAAGGTTTCCATGAAATTAGTTGATTTAAAAGCTTTAATTTGTTGGAATATTCTTCTACACTGGAAAAACATTCTAGAAATGAATAAAAACTTCTTAAATTAAGTGTATTTAACCTAAATTTGAGTAGGTAAACGAGTTTGCCAATGGAAAAAGTACTTTTACAATTAAAATAAGCTAATTTGATAAAATGCACTTGAAATGAGACAATGCAACTGTGTTTTCTTATTTTAAATGGAAATTTTCTTGTTCCATTGGCAAAGTGTCTCACTTACCTCCACGATTCAAGAAGAAATTTATTTTAGAAAAAGTGACATATCTAGATTCAGATTTTTTCCAGTGCAGCTCTCTGGGGGCTCAGCCCCCCTAAACCTCTGGTCCTAGAGTCGCCCCTGCTGCAGGGTAATCTGATGGGAGGAAATAAAAACTCGAACCAGAGAAGAAAATGCTGCTGCTGCTGCTATAAGAAGCTTCCTCCATGTTTATCTCTCCATCCAGCTGCTCTTTAATCTGCTCAAAGATCTTCCTGACCTTTTCCTCTGGACGCTCTTCTGTCCGTTTGCTTCTGCCGCTTCCCCAGATCAGCTCGCACCTGCGTGCCGTTACCTCCGGACCAGCAGAAATGGCTCCTACCCTCTCCACGGCCTTCAGCCGGCGCTGGTGGATGGCGGTCACAGCGGTCATTGAGAACCTGCTGTTCTCTGCGGTGCTGCTGGGCTGGTCCTCCCTGCTCATCATGCTGAAATCTGAGGGCTTCTACTCCTACCTGTGCAACGCACCAGGTACGTCCACCTGTCTGGGTCCTGCATCCGTCTGTCCTTCTAATGCATCTTTCTGAAGAGATTCCTGACAGCAGCTCCGTTAGATGTTGCTACATAAAACCAGAGGCGTCAAGTAATAAAGTAACTTGACTTCAGCAGAAAATGCAGCCGATCGATGCTTTACTGGAGTAAATATTTGATAGACAACTTTATTCTTCTAATCCTTAGATTTTAAAAAATAGACTCGTAGTTTGTTTCATTTAAA